TGAGTTCTCTGGTGTGAATCTAAGTGGGATAACTGAGTGAAACTCTTTCCACACTCAAGACAGGAGAATGGCTTTTCTCCTGTGTGAATTCGTTGGTGTACACATAAGGTGGATGACTGAGTGAATCCCTTCCCACAGTCAGAGCAGGTGAATGGTTTTTCCCCGGTGTGAGTTCGCTGGTGCTGGTGTAACTTGGATGCCTGAGCAAATGCCTTCCCGCACTCAGAGCAGGTGAATGGTTTCTCTCCAGTGTGAACTTTCTGATGTACACGTAAATCGCATGAATTAGCGAAATTCTCAGCACACTTGGTGCAGATGAACGATTTCTCCCCGGCATGACATCTCTGGTGTATCCTGAAGCTACATAAACGAGCAAATCCCTTCTCACACTTGGAGCAGGTAAATGGTTTCTCCCCTGTGTGTTTGCGCCGATGAACGTCCAGCCTGGACGGAAATCTGAATCCTTTACCGCATTCCACACATTTACATGGTTTCTCCATGGTGCCAACGTCTTTGTGTCACTCCAATTTGAAGGATCAGTTCAATCCTTATCCAGACAGAGAACTTTTGTACAGGTTCTCCTCTAAATGGTGCAATGATTCTTCAGTCTGTGCAATTGCTTAAAGCTCTTTCCACAGTCAGTTCACCGGAACACTCTCATTTAGATGTTTGTGTGTCTCGGTGGTTTTCCAATCACACCGATGTTTGCAATCTTTCCCATCAGACAAAGCAAACATTTCTCCTTGCACAGCCAGAGGGCGGTGATGTTCAGCTCCTGATGAATGCGGTGACTTTGTCAGATCTTGACCTGATCTTTCGTTTGGGTTTCCGGATCTAAACCCTGCTCTTCTAATCCCTGTGGCAGGAGATGTCAAACCTGTTCACTGTCAGTAAAGCAGAGAAATCATAATCAGGCAATTCAGTTTCTGTGGAATATTTTCCTCTCTTGGTCCCTGCAAATTGTAAATCCCCGTCCCACACACTCTGTCTCCCACGCTTCTTTCTAGGTGAAACCCCTATAAAGTGCTGGATAATTATCTCCAACTCATTCTCGTTAATGGTTACAACTAGAGACAATATCCAGGCTCTGACCCTGCTTTGAGGAAGCTGCTAAAATGGCGGCAGCGCATGTGCACTGACGCTCCGGGAGCAAATCCGCGCTGCACATGCCTGCACACGTCATGTGGACGAATGATTGACGGTTGGTCCGGTCCAATGGGGAGGAAGGGGGCGGTTCTGGAGGACCATAAGGAAGAGCTGGCCCTCCAACCAATCAGAGTCAATAAAGATCCCGGACACAACTGCAGGGCGAAGCATGCGCTGCGCCGGAGCTGGAAGGACTGAGGGTGGGATTTAAAGGTGCAAAGGGCTGAAACTTGAGACAGAGACATTCCCCCTCAAGACCTAGTTAGAAGCTTCAACTCTTGCATCTGGAAACTGGTTTGACAGCGTGTTATAAGGGGAGGATTTATACACAGGAACGTCCATCCTAGAAAAAAAAATTGACTCCTCTGAATTTCTATCTGGAATGACAGTGAGGGAGTTTGGAAATTCCTTTCGCGGGGAGTTGGAATAAACATAAGAAATAGGTGCAGGCGGAGGCCATTCATCCCCTCAAGCTTCCCCAGCTAATTCAAAAGATCATGGTTCATCCACCTCGGGCTTCAACTCCACTTTTGTGCCAGCCCCTCATAGACCTGAACACCATGACATTCAAAAATCTATCTGCATCCTCGTTTAATTTCTTTCAGTCTTCTAGCCCCCACAATTCTCTGCGTAGAGGATTCCAGGTAATTTCTACTCGCTAAGAGGAAAACTTCCTTCCTTTCTCAGTTTCAAATGATAGTCCCTTTATTCTGTAAGTGTACCCTATTTTGAGATATCCACACTAATAGGAACATCTCAACATCTTGTATATTTCAATCAAGTCACCACATTGTTCTAAACACTAACTAATAAAGCTCCAAAACAAACGCAGAAAATCCTGGAGAAACTCAACAAGTCTAGCAGCATCTGTTGGGAGCAAAAGTGCTTCGAGTCTGGTCTGACTCTTCTTCAGAACTGAGACCTATCCTGCTTAGCCATTCTTGATAAATCAACCCCTTCATCCTGGTAATCAGCCCGGCAAAACACTTTTGAACTGCTTCCAATGACAGTACACCACTTGTCGAATACAAGGATCAAAACTGTACACAGCACTACAGGGACAAAAACAGAAATTGCTGAAAAAGTTCAGTGAGGCTGGCAGCACGTGTGGACAGAACTCAAGAGTTAAGATTTCAGGTCAGGTGACCCTTCTTCAGAAATCATTAAACCTATCTACATACCTTTGCAGATTTGTTATATCCTCATCGCAATGGGAGAACAACAGGATTTACACATGGTAAATTTAAATGAAGGCAAGTGTTTGGCATTTCTGAATTTCTATTCCAGACTGAGCGCAATTTTGCTCGGTAAGTATCTTTTAACTGAACATTTTCAGGGAGAAAACTCAAACCAAACATCAAAACAAGTTCCAGTATCATACCATTTACCAGGGATCTGAATATCATAGGCATGTGAACGTGGAAGGAAAAAAAATGTTTCTGGAAGAAAATTTCAGGTTAGTGTCACTGAAGCACTGAGAACACTGGTCAGGATACGTTGTGAGCAGGTTTTTATTCTGGCCAATATACCTTAGGAGATAGAAGCTGTATCAATGCGGACTTCACAAGCTTCAAAATCTCCCCTCCCCCGACCGCATCCCACATCCAGCCCAGCTCGTCCCCGCCTCCCTAATCATTCCTCCCACCTCAAGCCCCACCCCCATCTCCAACCCACGAACCTCATCCCGCCTCCTTGACCTGTCCGTCCTCCCTGGACTGACTTATCCCCTTCCTAACTCCACCCCTACATTCACCTTTACTGGCTCCAACCCCGCCTCTTTGACCTGTCTGTCTCCTCTCCACCTGTCTTCTCCTTTATCCATCTTCTATCCGCCTCCCTATTTATTTCAGAATCCCCTTCCCCTCCCCCATCTCTGAAGAAGGGTCTCGACCCGAAACGTCAGCTTTCCTGCTCCTATGATGCTGCTTGGCCTGCTGTGTTCATCCAGCTCTACACCTTGTTATCTCAGATAGAAGCTGTGTTGGCTTTGGTGGGGCTACAGCACAGATTTACTCTCACAAAAAACTTTGACTCCACATTCAACAGAATTTTTCAAACTCATCACCTCTACTGCCTCGAAGAAAAAGGGCAGAAAATATATACAATCATCATCGCCTGTAAGTTCACGTCCAAATCACAGTGTACCGACTGTTCCTTCACTCTCGCTGGTTTAAAATCCTGGAACGTTCTCCATAACAGCACTGTGGTGTTTATACGCATGAAGGTCTTCAGCAATTCAAGAAACATAGAAACTAGGAGCAGGATTCAGCTATTCAGCCTTTCGAGCCTGCTCTGCCATTCAACACAATCGTAGCTGATCCTCAACCTCAATGCCATATTCCTACTTTCTCTTCGTACCCTTTAATGTTTTAATGTCTCAACGTTTATCTATCTCTTGCTTGAATATACTCAGTGACCCAGCCTCGACATCCTTCTGTGGTATCAAATTCTAGAGGTTGAAGAAATCTTTTCTCATCTCAGTCCTAAATGGACGATTCAGTATTTTGAAACTGAGACCCCTGGTTCAAGACTGTTCGACCTGGGAAAAATTCTCCCTACTTTTAAACTGTCCAGCCCTGTTGGTATTTTATACATTGCAATCAGATCCTCTCTCATTCTTCTGAACCTTAATAAGTACAGGCCCAATTGAGCCAATCTCTCCTCATAGCACAGTCCTACAATCCCTGATATCAGCCAAGCGAACCTTCACTGCACTTCCTTTACGGCAAATGTATCCTCTCTTCGGTTGGGAGACCAAAACTGCCAAGTGTGGTCTCACTAAAGTCCTGTATTATTGCAATAAGGCATCGCTACTTCTGAACTCAAGAAAGCAACTCACTACCAGCTTCTCCAATGCAACTAGGGATGGGCAATAAATGACTGATAAGCCAGCAATGTTCACATCTCATGAAAGAAAATGAAAATTATAAGAGGTAAAGAATTGAGTCTTTTTGTAGAGAAATCCAGTCTAATTTCTCTGCACAATCCCAAAAGAACTACAAGTTTATTTCCCTCAACTGCTTGTTTGATAGGGGTGGCACAGTGGCTCGCACCGCTGCCTCACAGCACCAGGGACCCTGGTTTGATTCCAGCCTCGGGTGACTTATCTACGTGCAGTTTGCACATTCTCCGTGGGTTTCCTCAGGGTGCTCTGGATTCCTCCCACAATCTAAAGATGTGCAGGCTGGGTGGATTGGCTGTGCTAAACTGCCCACAGTGTCTATGGTGGGAAATGCAGAGGTAGGGGGTGAGTCTGGGTGGGATGCTCTTTGGAGGGTCGGTGTGGACTTGATGGTCTGAATGGCCTACTCCCACACTGTAGGGATTCGATGAATTGCTGATTCAATTTCCTCATGACAGCCAGAGTCTCACATCACAGAAACAGACCCATCAGTCCAAGTGCTCCATGCTGACCAGGTATCCTAAACTGAATTATTCATGTACCTGTCCAAATGTCTTTTATATGTTGTAATTATACACACCTCTACCACTTCTTCTAGGAGTACATTCCATTCACGCACTACCCTCCATGTGACAAAGGTGCCCCTCAGGTCCTTTTTAAATATCGGCAAAACTAGTTTGATTTAGGAAACCTAGTCGGCATGGACAAGTTGGGCTGAAGGGCCGACATCCATGCTGTGTACCTCTATGACACTGACACATTTTCGGGTGGGGTCACGTGTGCTGTGCTCGCCATGGATCACAGTGCGGCCTCTAGCCCAGAAGAAAGGCTTGAAGCCGCAAATACCAACCCGCACAGTCTGACTTGGGGTCTCCGGCCTCCACCAAGAATGATCAAACCCTCCCTGTCCACAACCCAGTGTTTCCTTCCACCCCAAAGGGCCCACGGACTTTTCACCAGAAGCATAATGCCTATTTATCCCACTTATCTCCTTCCTGGGCATGGCAGCGATAAAGTAGCAGCGTTTGGGCTCCTGCTTTCTTCTGTCCGTTTCGCCTCTTTCTTTTCCTTCCACTTTTCTTTTCTCTGCACCCTTCTCTTACCTGTTGCTTTCAGGGGGCCCAGAATGCGTGAGGTAGCGCCGGGGATCGCGAAGCGGGTGGGCCCGAGCGCGGGATTCAAGGCGGTGGTGGCAGCGACAGCAGCAGCAACCGGTTTTCAAGAAGTGGGAAATCGGGGAATCGTCGGAATCGGGGCTTTGGGCCCCAGCCGCGGTTTGCTTGGTTCACTGCTTCAGCCAGACTGACGGGGCGTCGCTGGCCCCAGTGCAGAATGACTAGCAGTGGAACTCCGGAACGGTAGTGGCGATGGTAGCTCCCATTGCCAGCCAGCAACACCCACGTCCCACGTGTGAATTAAAATAAAAACCTTTACCCACAAGAGCTGCGTCCA